AGCTGTGCTCTATCCTGAAAGGTTGACATCCTTCTCTCTGCGTTTGCTTTCAAGTTCTTTCCTTTCTGTGTTCAGCAGCATGTGCTTCCAACATACTGGGTGCCATGTTATTTGTTCTAACTTTCAGAAATAATGTTTTAAAATTGTGTTTATGTTTGTATCCTATGAAACCTCCCTGCTGAAGAGAATCTGGATGTACAGGGGTACCTCAGGTTAAGTACTTAATTCGTTCCAGAGGTCCGTACTTAACCTAAAACTGTTCTTAACCTGAAGCACCACTTTAGCTAATGGGGCCTCTTGCTGCTGCTGCGCCACCGGAGCATGATTTCTGTTCTCATCCTGAAGCAAAGTTCTTAACCTGAAGCACTATTTCTGGGTTAGCGGAGTCTGTAACCTGAAGTGTATGTTTTTTTATGGAGGTGAGGAAGTCCTGTAGCACAGGCAGAAGTCCATGTACTAATGGGGCACCTCTGTTGGATATAACCTTGACTGCGAACTGCATCCCTGTCTTCTTTAACAACAAACAGTGCACTCATTTGATGTTGTTTTCTCTGATATCTCTTACAATCTAATCCACTTGGACCAAGTGGATTGTGCAAAACTTTCAGATCTTATTGCCCTCCCCAAAGTCACAAACCTGTTCAATTGAGTAGGCTTGATTGCCTACTTTTTACACAAGGTTATATGGATTCTGAATTTTATACACACACACACACACCAACTCCTCTGGGATTTCCCACATCATAAGCTAACTGTCATACTAAGCTGGCTAGTTTTCTTCCCAAGTAGGGGCTTGGTTTTAATTTATAGATAGGTGAGTCTCAGCATTAAACTAGCAGCAGGGTTTACCCATCACACATGCACTTGCTAGGAAATGGAAGCAGGCGGTAGCAGGTATGGAAGTATCAAGTCAATGACAAATATCACCTTAGCTCCAAGGTCCCTGTACCCATGCGGGGATGTCCTTATATGGATAAAATCCAGGGCTTTTCTTCAACTAGAACTTGCAAGCACCTCTCAGGTGGGTGCCAATGCTTTCCTAAGAGAATGAGAGAGATGTTCATGGCGAGTTCCAGCACCTCTTTTTCTAGATAAATTGCACTGCTAAAATCTATACATGTATATAGGGATCAGGGAAGTATGGAAAGCGAGCTCTACAGAAACTCAGAGTGGAAAGTAGAGGAAATGTCATGAAATCGCTCTGAAGAATATCCCAGCAGCTTCTCCCCCAACACCACCAACAAAAGCTGTCAACATTCTACACTTTTGACTATATTGAAAGGAATATGCCAAATGAGACAGGATAAGTATGGACAGAGTTGGAGAAATTGGATCCTTTACGACTGGCTGAAGCATTTTATCCCGGGGATAGATCATGGCTCAGAGCATGTGCTTGCGATGGCAGGAATCCAGAAGCCTATTGAAGCCTGTGAGCAGGGCCAGAGCGCAACAGCACTTGCACCTCTTGTGCTTACCAGCCCCTGGTATTCAGAAACATACTGCCTCCAGCTCTGCAGGTTTCACCATAGCCAACATTGTTAGTGGCCTTCTCCTCCACGAATTTGCCTACTCCTCTTTTAAAGCTGTCCAGGTTGGTGGCTCCTGCAAGAGCAAGTTCCACAGTTCAATTATGAAGGTAGGTTAGCTTGAAAGTCAGGAACTTTCCCAAGGGCAAGTGAGCTTTGTGGAGAGATGTGAATTTGAGTTTCTTGCATCTTCAGAGCCCTACCCATTGCAGCACCCTAGCTCTCACGCAAACAGAGCAGGATTGATCTACGCTGGGAACATAACTTTCCTGAGGTTGTTCTTGTCTTCCAGGGTTGGCTAAACAATTGTGCGCGGTGCCAGGCATTATTGGTAGGGTCCTTTCCAATGGCTCAGATTTATTCTGGTGTCGTTTTGTGCAGGTTGCTAAAGTCACTCCGCTGTGGATTGGCCACCATCACCCTTGCATTGTAGGAGTAACTCCTCCAGGTTCAGAAGGGCAAAGAGGGAAGCAAATTCAGCACCAGCACCTCCCTGCATACCTCTGAAGCATGCAGGTAAACTTGAATTTTTGCATGAGGGTTCCCCCTTCCCCGCTTATTAACATGCAGCAAAACAAAGCTGTCTGCATCTTCCCCACAAGAGCTGCCTAAAAAAGAAGAAGAAGACTTGCACGAGGCCGAGGCTGGATTTACAAGCATTGTAGTTATAGCAACAGGCGCTTGAGTTTATGCAAGAGAGCTCTGTGAGACAGTTACACAACCGCCAGCTTCACATGAAGAAAAGGGAATGCGCTGGAGAAAGTATACGACCAGGAAGGTGACAGAAAACTCTGGCAAAGGGCAAGGCAAAGATTGCTGCTGGCAGGGAAGAAATCCTTTTGAGATGGCCTGCCCTCCTTTTATTGGTCTCTGCAATAATTTCCCTGATTTTATTGTGTGTGTGGTTTTGTTTGTTTTGTTTTGCTTTAGCGCAAGCGTCTAGCTTTTTTCTCTCTCCAGGCTCAAACTTTCATGTCTCTCCCTCCCCACACCTATCCAAGCTCATTCATGCCCCTGAGTAGTGAAATAATCACTGCAGGGAAACAATGCAACCTTCCTACCTGTGCGCTTGCGACTGAAAGCATCCTGCAAGTGTGTAACGCACACTCGTTTGGCAAGGCAAGTTGGCGTCCTTAAATTACACAGTGCTGACTTTCTCTTACTCACCGCAGGCAGTTGGGCTAAAGAGCAATTCTCCCTGCCTGCAACTCAGAGTCCCTGCTAGAAAATCAATAGTCATTTGGCAGCCTCCTGGCAGTGAACCAGCCATATTGCAAAGTCTCTGGAGAAGCAGCTTTTAGTTCCACGTGGCAAAATCAAAAAAGCACATTAACAAAAAAACACCTCAAGACCCAAAGAGTCCTCCGCCAATTGTGGTCCTGCTCTCTGGTCTGATTTGCTCTTTTCCCCCCTGGGTTCTTGTAAGACAGCCCAGTCACATGTTGGTGTTGGGCAGGCTGAGAAATTATTCCAAGTTAATTTCCTGCAGTTTACTGGGGTACAGTGGGGTACCTCAGGTTAAGAACTTAATTCGTTCCGGAGGTCCGTTCTTAACCTGAAACTGTTCTTAACCTGAAATACCACTTTAGCTAATGGGGCCTCCGGCTGCCGCCGCCACGCAATTTCTGTTCTCATCCTGTAGCAAAGTTCTTAACCCGAGGTACTATTTCTGGGTTAGCGGAGTCTGTAACCTGAAGCGTCTGTAACCCGAGGTACCACTGTATTTTTATTTATTTATACTGTTGTCAGGGGCTCAGGGGCAGAGCCACAGGGGAAAGAGGAGTTGGAGAGCGAAGAGGAAGGATCTGAGGGGAGCTTAGGAGGGTATGACAGTGACCAGGGGGATTCCATGAGTCTCTCCAGCGAATCAGAAGATTCCCAGAAGGAGGCGCCCAGGGTCAGGGCAAGGGGGGCCAGCGGTGAGTCCCCAAGCGGCAGCTGGAGATCAGGGCCAGCTTCCCCGCCAGAGCGTAGCGGGGGGGAAGAAGCCCACAGATCAGGACCAGCGTCTTCTCCAGCAGGGAGAGAGAGAGAGTCAGAACTGACCACGGCTCCGTCGGAGAGTGGAGGGGCGGAGGGGAGGTCAGTTCCAGCCAGCCCCCCGAAGGGGGAAGCAGTGACAGGAGCAGTGTAGCCGTTAGGAGGAAAGTGGCCGGCTGGGTGCGCGCGCCAAGTTCAAATGTGCAGGCGCGTGGGTCAGCAGAAAATCCAGATTGGGAGCCAGGTCCCAAAGCCCGCCGGAGACAGGGGGAGGAGTCAGAGGAATCCACCTCCGAAGAGTCCAGGAAGGGTGGGACCCCAGGGGGCAGGAGGACCCAGAGGAGAAAGGAACAGAGGAAGAGGTGGAGCAAAGCTCGGGTGTTAAACTGGTGTAGGGGAGGGGAAGAGTCAGACGGAGCTTCGATGGTCTAGAGTTACAGACGTAGGGCTGCGCGCCACGGATGTAAAACCAACAATGAACTTCAATAAAGACTTTTGTATATAAAGAGACACTGGCGTTGGTCCTTTGTGAGCTGGGACCTGAGGCACCCCTGACAACTGTGTTTTTAGAATTGTATCTTCTGTTGGTGTAACCTGCCTTATGGCGAAGGGAAGATAAGAAATCTTATAAATAAATAAAGTAGACCTGAAAAAATTATGACCCACCCAAGCCAAATGCAGCTCATGAACCACAGGCTTAATAAATAAATGCCATATTTTTACTGCTTGCCTGGAATTCTCAAAACTTGGGGTACTGTTAATCAGCTAAGAAGGGCAAAATGTGTCGCTGGTGGTAAATTGCGCAGCCCTGACAGCTAATACTATTCCCCTGAGAACAGGACAATTGAAATCAATGCATGGCAGATCAGAAGGTAGATCAGGATCTAGCAAGAGATCAGCGAGGGTTTCCAAAGCCCAACTTATCAACAACAGCAACAACAAAATTCCCCCCACCTAAATCAGGCTACCGAGATGTGGAAGGCCAACCAGGAGTGAACTTTTCTTTCTTTTTTTTAAATGATATTTATTAGAAGTTTAATAGTTACAAAAAAAGGGGGGAGGACAATAAAAAGTTACAATACATCAAAAATAAAAATAAAAACAGAAAACAATACAGCAAAACAATAAGAAAAACAAAAACACTTAAAAACACATCCAATATTTCCGTATCTTTACCTTTCATTTACTTGTTTCATCGACCTCCTCACACCTGTCTTTTTTGTATTCTAGTTCAATTAGCTATTTCAGCAAATCCTTTCCATCTTTCTCAATTTTTGTTCTATAATATATCTTAACACAATCTGACCTTAAATTTTACACTTTAGCCCATTAATCTATTTTTACTTAGTTCTTTATAACATTTCTGCTAAAACCATGTAACTTCTTTCCAGCATCCTTCTAACATTCATTAATTTTACAGTATTTCTGTAAGTATACTTTAAATTTTTTCCAATCTTCTTCCACCGACTCTTCTCCCTGGTCTCAGATTCTGCCAGTCATTTCCGCCAATTCCATGTAGTCCATCAGCTTCATCTGCCATTCTTCCCGGGTGGGTAGATCTTGTGTCTTCCAGTGCTTTGCGATGAGTCTTCTTGCTGCCAGGAGTGAACTTTTCTGTGAAACGACTGCAAGCTCAGTTCAGTCCTTTTTCTGGATGAGAGTATGCTCAGGGGCTTCCTATTCTTTTGTTTTAACTTTGTGTCTAAGGACTCCGCTAGATTGGTAAAGAAAAAGCATTTTATATGTGTTGTAGATGCAATTTTTTAAAATAACACTGTGACACTAGAAGGCGCTGTGGAGTCCCATCTTTGCCTACCAGATTTCCCTGTATAAGTTTACAACTGTAGCTCTTTTATACCTCATTCTGGTTGGTGGAGCTTGGGGTTCTAGTTGGTAGCTCTTGGGTTACATCTTGGAGTTCTAGTAAAAAATAAAGAAGATCCATCAAGCCTGAAGTCTGCCCATTCCTGATATATGGCACGTCCTTTGTTCTTCTTTTTTTTAGGCTTAGAAAAGAGTGCCAAAGAACGAACGCCAACGTCAACACCAGAGGATCATCCTATTGCCTGCAATGAATAATACCTTCTTGGTGCTAAATTGTTAAGCCCAGATTCATAGCTGATGTTAATAACAACTTCTTCCTTGGAAAAATGCCGTATTGAAAGACAATTTCCTGTGTTGCTAATGGATTTGGAGTTCTTTAAACTCCCTTACGGTTCAAGTCGCATGCTTAAAAACAGTACGGAAATACTTACTTTTCCACACTACCCAGTAGAATGCACGACCAACACAAAGTTTGCATCTCTAAAGCAGCTCTGTGCACACTTGCAAGCAAATCTCAAATGGTGGTGGCAGCGGCGGTGGCGGCAGCAGCAGGGAGACCGGCACAACTTTCCCCCAGGGTGTTGCTTGTGATAAGGGGGAATATTAAGACCTCTAATCTGTTTCCAATGTGGAGGTTACAGGGGGCCATTTGGGAAGGAAACCCTGCCAGGAAATGTATGGAGTCTCATTATCTTTTATCTTACTCATGCAGAAAGTTTGCAGAAATCGGCTGCTCAGCCACAAAGGAGCTTTCCCAAAGAATTATGCAGGCCGTGTGTGCATGCTTATCAGGGACTACAAGAGCAACTCTCCATCAGCCAGCTGTGGGGCCTTGCAGAGATAAAGCTATCCCTCTGCCCGGCGCTGACTTTGCGGATAAATCATCCTGTCCCCTCTGCGCCATTACGCCTAACCTCTGCTTGGCCCTCTCCAATTGTTAGACAATTTCGCTGCAAGAGCCAAAACAAATGAGCAAAGCATCTGCGCCTTTCTCAAGTTTCTCCAGCCATTACTGCAAGCAAAAAAAAAAGTGGAGGGGGGGGAGAAAAGGCAGCTGCTTAGCTTTGAAGAGCAAGGTAGCCCCATTATAAATGGGCCTATGCAGCTTTTAATGCGAGGCAATCCTACACCTGCACACACAGAGAGAGCCAAGGCAGGTGGGAAGGGAACATGAGACGAGCCTGGGAAGGAAAAGTGTGGGGTTCAGGTCTCCCGGATCCCAAGCAAGGTTCTTTTTCAAGGCGCAGAGCATACTCATAATATATCATGATTATCGCAACCTTCAGAGACCAATTCATCAGCAAGGAATGCATATGCATTATTTCCGCGATAACACACGTACAAAGTTGCCGACTCTTGAAATAAGGTTTTTCAAAGCCTGGGTCCTTGGGGATCATAGATTAGTAGTTCTAGGAATTGGGGGCAGGGGTGTCAGGAGGCAAGGAAAGCTATGCTCATCTAAGGCAGCCTTTTCCCCAGATGTTTTTGGATTGCAAATGCCATCCTCCCTGATCATTAACTCCGTGGGCTGGGGTGGACGCGAGTCCAAAATATCTGGAACATGCTAAGCTACAGAAAACTAATCCAAGGTTGTTGTATCTGAAGAAGTGTGCATGCACACGAAAGCTCATACCAAGAACTAACTTAGTTGGTCTTTAAGGTGCTACTGGAAGGAATTTTTTTGTTTTGACTATGGCAGACCAACACGGCTACCTATCTGTAACCAAGGTTGTTGTGTTTTTTTAATTCCACTTTCCTCCAAAAAAAGCTCCTGTTGACTACATTGTTCTTCCCACCTGTGAGTTTGGAGTAGGCTGAGAAAGAGAGACTGGGGTCTCGTCCACTTTTCTGCTTTCCCCACCTAGAAAGCATAGAGGATCCATGGGACTCCTTTCCCATGGAAAACCCGTTCTTTAGTGCTCAATCAGAGCAAACGTCAATCTGGAGAAAACCTGAACTGCCATTTACTCAAACTGAGAGCTACAATACAGACCTCATGGTCTGGAGGTTTCCCACTCCCATCTTAAAACTGAAGACACTGCTTGTGTTCCTCTTGCATGCTTCCAGAAGCATCTGGTTGGCCGCTGTGAGGACAGGAGGCTGGACTAGACGGGCCATTGGCCAGATCCAGCAGGCTCTTCTTATGTTCTTATGAGGCTGAAAGCAAGGTCCTCCTCCTCTGGGAAGCTGTTTTACAGTTCCAGCTCTAGGGTGGTCCCTGGGGGGGGAAAAGGTGGTGGAACATGACACATGGCTGGGAAATGGTAAAAATTTAGGGGTACATCTCTTTAGCTACTCTGGTGTTCACACCTGAGAGTTATGCCAACTTACGCCCTGTTTTTCACATCACAGCATCATATTGAAATATCATTACCATATTTTTGCTCTATAAGACACACCAGACCATAAGACGCACCTAGTTTTTAGAGGAGGAAAACAAGGGGGGGGGATTCTGAATCCCAGAAGCCAGTTCTGGGATAGCCTCTTGCTGTCCCGGCTTATGGGATAGCTGCACACAGCTTCTCCCGGGCAGGGGGATGAAGGCTCCCCCTGCCTGGAAGAGTCTGCGCGGGGCTAAGCCAGAAGCCAGGACAGCAAGCAGGAACGCTGTGCAGCGATCCCTCTTCCTGTCCTGGCTTATGGGATAGCCATGCACAGCCACTCCTGGGCAGCGGGAGGAAGGCTCCCCCAAGAGCCTCCCTCCCTTTAAAGAAGGGCAGCCCTTCTCCCTCCTTGGGGAAAAGCCCCCAAGACCTGCACACACGCTCCACGCGGCTCTTTAAAAGGAGTGCTGAGCAGAGCCTCCCGCCTGCATTCGCTCCATAAGACACACACACATTTCGCCTTACTTTTTAGGAGGGGAATAGTGTGTCTTATAGAGCAAAAGATACGGTACTTGGCTAGGTATACACCTTCATTGTTACCTTAAAGCATAGGTGGCAGACCTGCAGCCTCAGCCAGCATGGCCAATGGACGAGGATGATGGGAGCGTTAGTCCAACAACACCTGGAGGGCCACAAGTAAATTACCCCTGCCATAAAGAGATGACAACAGTGGTGAAGGAGAGCAGCCACAAATACAGTTTATACTGCTGGTCAATCACATCAACAACGGGGATCCTGTGGCTCACCTACCAGATGTTGTTGGATTCCTAGACCCATCAGCCCCAGTCAGCATGGCCGTTGGTTAAGGGTGATGGGTGCTGTAGTCCAGCAACATCCAGAGTGCCGCAGATTCACTATCTCTAAACAGCACATTGCTCTACCAAGTGGTGGGGAGAATGGTACCATTCTCAAATTTCTGATCAGGTGTGGAAGTGGCACGAACGTAGCCTCACTAATTGCCAGGATCATAGAATTGTATCGTTGGAAGGGGTTCTGAGGATCATCTAGTCCAACACCCTACAATGCAGAAATAGGCAGCTGTCTCATACGGGGATCAAACCTGTAACCTTGGCAATATCAGCACCACGCTCTAACCAACTGAGCTATCCAGGCTCTTGGTTATGGATATTATGGATGAATGATCTGCCTAACAGCTGCCTCTGCATGTGCACTGTGGGAAGTTGTCACTTGCTGAAATAATAATAATAATAATAATAATAATAATAATAATAATAATAATTTAAAAATAATAATATACCGTCCTTTACCCGCAGGTCTCAGGGCGGTTCACAGAAATTGTTGTCTGTATTGTGTTCCAATCTTCTTAGCCATCCAGGTGAATTTTCCTGGCTTCCCAGAACAAAACACAGAAAAATATGTTCCAGTCAATAATTTAGCGTACCTAGGTGGCAACATAATTATGTTAGCACAGCGCTGTAGGCCTCTGTCTGGTAGCACAAGATGCTATGAGTTTCTTAACACGGGCTGTATTTAAACACATTGGATCAATTTGAATCAATTTGACATGTACACACTTCAGGGCCTGGCTAGTTTCAAATCAATTAAAGTCCTTATGACTTTATGATTAGAACCCCAAGGTTATAAAACATTAATGTAAAACTCACAGTTTAAAGTGGAAACGTAAAATCCCAGAGTTATGCTTCACCAAAAAAAAAATCAAAATCACAGGAATCATTATATAAGCTCTGCTGAACAAACAAGGTAAGGGCTATTAGACTGTAAATTGTGTATAGTTGGATGTAGGTTTTTTTTTTTTTAATAAGGAGAGGCTATAATTAGGGTTTGCTGGACAGTTAAATGAAAATGAGGAAGTGCAGTTAACTAGCAGCCTTCAGCCGAAAGGCAGAAAGGGGAACAGAAGCTCCAAATCAGAATGTTAACAATGGGGTCATTTGTACAAATAAACAGAGACATTCTTGTTGGTTTTTACTAGAAAAGTATAATAGATTTGGGGTCACAGTCAGCACAGAAATAGTCCTCATATCACAACCATCTTGCTTTCTTGAGTCCAAGTATGGTACTGGGTGAGGTGTTGGGTTTGGACCAGGAAAACCTGGGCTCGTATCCTAGCTCAGCCATGAAGTTCATTACACACACACACAGACACACCACAATTTTTAATCTAACCTTAGAGGATTGTCCTGAGGCTACCTTGGAGACATACACTCCAAGGCATACAATCCAAAGCACGTGAAATCATAGAGATAGCCTGCAGGCAACATCTAGTCAATCTACCCAGTGTTCCATGTGATCAGAACGATGGCAAGCATGGCCAAGGATGATGGGACCTGTAGTTCAACAACATCTGGAAGGCCGAAGGTTCCTTACTCTTCCTAGACAGTGTGGGAGGTTCATATGTCACTTGGTTTGTTCATGTCACCAGCATCTCTTTTTTCAGCTGGTAGCTTTCAGCTGTGGATCGGCACCCTGCTTTTGGTACTCTGGACTTCATTATGCCTGTTGACCTAGGGAAGGCGAGAAATTCAGTTTTGCATCTTAATGAGAAACAACCTAATTCACACTTCTTTCCAATAAGTGAACCGAAACACCTGTCTTTCAAAACGTCACTCAATAGGGACTCCATGGCCTGAGGGGAGCTCGAGCCCTCAAAAAATTTTGGGGCACAGCCCCCCAATATTCGGGCGCCTTCCGCAGAGCGCCGCCGCCGCCCCGCCTCTCCCCACTCTCCTCGACCAGACAAGCGCCTAGTCGGAATCCCCGCGTCCCCCGCAGATTAGGAATCCCCGGCGGGTCTGAGCACCCGCCATGCAACACTGCCGGGGAATTTCCTTCCTCTGCCCCCGGAGAACAGTCCCGACTGGCCACACTCCCAGCAGCGATTGGCTGGCTGGGGGGGCGTGGCTTGCCCTATTTAGGGCCGGAGTCACTTTATTTGCATATTCATGAGCTTATTTATTATTCATGAGCTTTCCCGGGCCCCCCAATATTTTTTATAAGTCCGCGTCCCTGGTCACTCATCCAGATTTTATGAAGCAATTCTCCAACCAAAAAATCCACATATTAGGAAGAAAGTGTGCATAAAAATGACTATGTTGGTGAAAATGACATACAAACATGCATTGTCACAGGAGGAATTGCTAGCAAACATGTGCCCATGACTCAAGACTGCATAAAGTAATTGTTTATTGGGAGAAATTGCTGACCAATTTTCATGCCGATTTTTTTGAATCGCAAATTGCTACAGAAATGTGGAGAGCTGCATTAAAGATTGGAAAATTGAGAAAATGAGAGAACCAAAATTGAAAGATACAGTAAGTCCATCCCTATACTGATCTACAGGCTTTGGGTGACACTTGGACCTACTTTGTTTAGGGTGTTAGAGAATAGGCTTGTACACATGTTACACTGAACACAGGGCACAAATTGTCTCTGGACATGTACCTGCAAGTGTTTGTGTGCATACTTCTTGATTTGTACAGCTCAACTATTTGCAAACAACAGGTACACAAGCCGTACACACATTGAACTATACACGTGAACCATGCTCACGTAATCCGTTTTGTTCCAGTAGTGAGCCTATGAATGGAGAGTATTCGTGTGAAGTTCACGAAATGGGCAAATCACAGCTAGGGATGCAACCTTTTTCAACCTGCCACTATAGCTGAAACTTTGAAAAAAAACCTGCTGTACAGACATTAGCAGGTGATAATGCTTCCTTCCATGCTAGGAAAAGTTTAACCCACTGTGCTGAACAGGACACTGCAGGCCAGGCGTGTTTTTCTGATAAGCCAGCAGCCCAAATCACAACCAGGCTGCATTTAAACCATTCAATGATATTTGTATCCTGCTCAAGCTTGGGGCAAGAAACACAGCAGAATAGAAAATAATAATAATAATAATAATAATAATAATAATAATAATAATAATAATAATAATACTTCCCTTGCCTCTTGCCTGTTACTCTCCCTCAGAGAAGTGGCAAACCTCAAAACTGTCCTTCACTGTATTTCCACTTTACTGCTCCAAAGTACCGAGACAGTAAATCTTTAGAAGTGCTGCTGGAGAGACAGGGCCAAGAGTTATGCTCACGCACCTCTAAATGATTACAGTTCAATGTCTTCCTGGGATATGGTGAGTGGCAGAAGGGGAGGTTATTTGGTCAGCGCAGGTACAAGGGGGGTCATTAGTGTGCGAGAGCATGGCAGATAAATGGGTCAATTTGGATTTGCTACTCAGCCTGACAAGATGGAATTGCTGGTCTTATACTGCTGCGGATAATTAGCTCTCGCGACTGCCTGTTAGAGCATTGGCAGGCTATAGTTCCTCTGTTAGATGGTGACGGGTGTTTTTGTTTTAGACAGAAATTCTCCTTTTACGGATGGCCCCCTTTAACTCCATTAGCAGTCTGGTTACTATACTTATTTAGGTCCGTCCCTCCCTGTAACAAAACCAAAGGAAAGCTACCTTCTCTTTTAGGTACATGGAGCTATTCATTTGGGAGTCTATTCGATTTTATACATGTCCACTCAGAAATAAGTTGCACTGAGTTCAAAGGATCTTACTCTCAGACGAAGGGCTTGTCCACACTTCTCCTTGTTCCGCTCCTTTCCCTCAGGAAATCCCACTGTTTGCCAGAACAAATGTTCATGTGTTTCTCTGCGGATTGATGTGTGTTCCAATTCAGCGGTACCTCACCCCAGTCTACCTGGACCTCCTGAGCTGCCTCTGGCACCCCATGAGGTCCATACAGCGGCACAACATTTGAATATTGAATATGGGAGGGGTGGCCAAGCAGCACCATCAAGATATGGTTGAGCCCCAGCTCCCATCAGCCCACCCTCAACTAACATGGTCAGGGATTATGGGCACTAGTTTTCTTTTGCAGCAGGGAAAAGAAAAATCTATCAGACCTGTGCCTACAAATCACAGGACAAATGGAAGAAAACACAGGAAAAACAAAAAGTGTTTGTGAGCCTTCTATCTCTGTTGCCTTATACAGTGGTACCTCAGGTTAAGCACTTAATTCGTTCCGGAGGTCCGTACTTAACCTGAAACTGTTCTTAACCTGAAGCACCACTTTAGCTAATGGGGCCTCCTGCTGCCGTCGTGCTGCCGGAGCACGATTTCTGTTCTCATCCTGAAGCAAAGTTCTTAACCTGAAGCACTGGGTTAAGCGGAGTCTGTAACCTGAAGCGTATGTAACCCGAGGTACCACTGTACTGTACCTATTAAATGCACCAGAAAGCAGTTGGCAATATGGGCTGGCATATTAAGAATAAAACTGCAGCAGGTTTATCTCAAATGAACATTGTGTTGGTTTGTTTTCAAATGGGGAAATCGTGACTTTTTATTTTGAAAAAAGTTTGCAGGCAGTTGTGGGGAGAAGGTAGGAACTCGCCACTCCCAGCTGTAACCGAAAACTACTCTTTTTTTGTTAAAAATGCAACCCTTTTAGAGAAGTTAGTTGCAGAACAGATGGGCATATGTCTAAGAGGATTTAGTTGTTTCGAGGATCAACTCATTTCTAAGGTAACACCTGTCCTTTGGGGAGCAAGCTATAACGCTTGGCATTTTAGGGAGTCTGCAATTCAGTCTTATATTGCTTTTGCCATATGGTTTTACTTCAAACAAAATGGCATCCGGTCCCTCCTTACTTCCTTTGTTTCTAATGCACAATTTACAACGCACTCTAGGGGAACAGGCCAGGCTTTCAACCAAGCTATCATATTGTAGAGGGAACCTGGAGTGCAGCACAAATGTTTTTCAGAAGGCAAACAGCCAGCATGTACACACACACACACACACACACACACACTCCCTCAAGATATACGGAATACATGCAAAATATTTTTAATTAAAAAATGAAGCAATTCTTGTTGAAGGTAAACCAAACATCTGCTTCAGAACAAAAATAAAGTAGAACGTTGAAGGTTTTATTCAGATTTGGCTATGAAATCCGAAATCTAGACGCCAATCTTCAACTTTTTGTTGTTATTTCCCCCCTTTTCCCCCTCTTTGCAGCTAAGCAGAGCCCCGCTGAAGCCTGGATATGGTTCTACTTCTCTTCCAATCCAAACATAACGGGGCTTCAGAAATCCCTGCACTGGACAACTCAGCTCTCTCTGTGTTGGCTACAGGATGAGAAGGAAAAGTCAGGTCTATCTATTTTATTTACTGATGCATATACAAGGTGGCTCACAAAAGTCCAATAATTTCAAGTCATAAAGTAAAAATAAATAAATAAGTAAAAAGAACTTGCAGGTCCCATTACCTGGTTTCTTTAAGAATCTACATATGAGGGTGTGTCATTTGTCACAGGCACTTTTTTTCACGGCGAGTGTGTACACTGGGAATGCTCACACTTCACCTACCATGGCAACAGCTGCTGACCATCTTCAGGCTTCCTGACAGGGAAGGAAATGTCTGCATCACTGCCATCTTGGTGTTGCTCTCATCTTGCCTTTGCTAGGCAGAGGGCCTTCTCGGTAGTAGCGCCCGCCCTGTGGAACACCCTCCCATCAGATGTCAAGGAAATAAACAACTATTGGACTTTTAGAAGACATCTGAAGGCAGCCCTGTTTAGGGAAGTTTTTAATGTCTGATGTTTTACAGTGGTGCCTCGCAAGACGAAATTAATCCGTTCCGCGAGTCTCTTTGTCTTGCGGTTTTTTCGTCTTGCGAAGCTCGGCTATTAGCGGCTTAGTGGCTATTAACGGCTTAGCGGCTATTAACGGCTTAGCGGCTTAGCGGCTATTAACGGCTTAGCGGCTTTAAGAAAAAGGAAACAAACTCGCAAGAACTCGCAAGACGTTTCGTCTTGCGAAGCAAGCCCATAGGGAAATTCGTCTTGCGGAACGACTCAAAAAACGGAAAACCCTTTCGTCTAGCGAGTTTTTCGTCTTGCGAGGCATTCGTCTTGCGGGGCACCACTGTATTGTGCTTTTAATTTTGTTGGGAGCTGCCCAGAGTGGCTGGGGAAACCCAGCCAGATAGGCAGGGTACTACTACTACTAATAATAATAATTACTATTATTACTGAAGCACTGCTGCTGCTGCTGCTGCTGCTGCTGGGGAAACTGTATTTTATTAAATCAAAAGATTTTTCACATTCACCCTTCAGCCTTATAACTGAAGGAAACTAAAATAATCATACCGAGATTAAATGCAACAATACAGCCAATACCCAACACTTAAAATGCCCGGGGAGATAAAAAAAACATGTTTAGCCAAATGGATTGTCATAGAGTCATAGAATCATAGAATTGTAGAGTTGGAAGGGACCCAGAGGGTCATCTAGTCCAAACCCCTGCAATGCAGAAAGATCAAGAATTCATGAAAAATGGATGTCCAGCTTCTGCTTTAAAACTTCCAGGAAAAGGGAGTCCACCAATTCTCGTGGGAGACTGTTCCACAGTCAAACAGCTCTTACTGTTTTTTCCAAATGTTTAGTCGAAATCTCCTTTCTTGTAACTTGAAGCCATTGGTTTGGGTCCTACCCTCCGGGACAGGAGAAAACAAGCTTGTTCCCTCTTCCATGTGACAGCCCTTGAGATATTTGACAATGGCTATCATATCCTCTAAAAGGGACGCGGGTGGCGCTGTGGGTAAAACCTCAGGGCCTAGGACTTGCCGATCGCATGGTCGGCGGTTCAAATCCCCGCGGCGGGGTGAGCTCCCGTCACTCGGTCCCTGCTCCTGCCAACCTAGCAGTTCGAAAGCAGCCCCGGGTGCAAGTAGATAAATAGGGACCGCTTACCAGCGGGAAGGTAAACGGCGTTCCGTGTGATGCGCTGGCTCACCAGATGCAGCTTGTCACGCTGGCCACGTGACCCGGAAGTGTCTGCGGACAGCGCTGGCCCCCGGCCTATAGAGTGAGATGGGCGCACAACCCTAGAGTCTGTCAAGACTGGCCCGTACGGGCAGGGGTACCTTTACCTTTACCTTTTATCATATCCCCTCTCGGTCTCCTCTTTTCCAGGCTAAACATACCCAGCTCCTTCAAGCGTTCCTCATAAGGCTTGGTTTCCAGACCTTTTATCATCTTGGTCACCCTCCTCTGCACCTGTTCCAGCTTGTCTATATCCTCCTTAAGTGGTGGCGCCCAGAACTGGACACAGTATCCCAGGTATGGACAAGATGTCATAGCTGCACTTTTCCCCTGCCTTACCTCAAGACATGGTGGTGAAGGGAACTGTGGGGTCGTTGGGGTAAGCAATGAAGGACATCTGAAATTAAGAGTTCTGAAATTTCACTATGGATTGAGATGCTCATGCAACATAAACCTTTTGCCCCTGTGCTTAAAGAAGTACACACCCCAAGCCTTTTGTTGCAAACGATACGTGCAGAGGTGCTTTAAAGGGGGATGGAACATAATTCACAATGTAGACTTCTTTTAAAAAATAAAAAATAAAATAAAGCCTGATAAGTGAGAGAGGTTTTTGGTTAATGTACAGCTGAGAATGGCAAAGGAAGGAAGGCTGGAAACTGGAGAAGCTTGAGCAAATGTTTTTACAAGCTCCCTTCGAGTGGAGTTCATGAGAGATTCCTGAATCCTGGCTTGCTGCCAGCAAAACACTAGTATATTTATTAGGGAACCTGCTGGCTTACCAGGAAATTACAGACCAGTTAAATACTTTATACAGCTAAGTAGTTTATTAAGGAGCTATCGGAGATTATGAAAAAGGGAGGGTTCTGGAAAGCATAATATTGTGAGCCTAAAGCCAGGAGGGCCTCGGAAGGAAGAGGGGACGACTCCACTCTGCCGGGTGCCTATACAGAAAAGCGAGGTTTTTCCAGTGCAGCCTGTGCCAAATGGAGGGGAACAGTCAATAATAAAGAATAATATGGGCAGGTGGAGAGTGGCTCAGATTAGTCCCATACCTTGGGCTAGCAGATGCCAAAAAGCCAATGCAGATAAATGACAAACAGTGAACCTTGAGCCTAGAAATGAAATGATTAAGCGCTGCCCGGGAGGAATGGAAAACCGGCCCGAAGAACAATCAAGGTTATTGCAGGGAGTAAAGTCACCGTGAGGAAAAAAGGCGTGTTTTGTTTTGTATGCTTTGTGTGAGAGACGGTAAACAATATACCTCATTTGCTTGTGGTGTTCTTGCTTCAATTCCCCAGCCTTCCCTCCCCCCCCCTACTCTCTTGGCAGTCTGATGTTTATTTCTATGCCTTACCAACTACTGGAAATATCTCCTGTGATCTGGATTCTCCCCACCAATCCACCCTTATATTTGCAGCAATTCTCTCTTGGTGAGCTGGATCGGTACCTTGGTACAGCGGGATAACTATTTCCACACTGAGATTTCTTCTCACCTACCTGCCCCATTGCTGCAATTTGGCCAGTTGATCAGGGCCATTTGTGGCGGGTGGGGCCATTTGGGCTAGGCCTAAAGCTCAAAGGGAGCCTCAAATTTAGGCACTTGCTGTCTTGTTTTGTTTTTGTATTTGATAAGTTTTGCAACTTGCTTTTATGCCTGTCAGACCAGAATGTGACACTCTCTTAGATTGGGGCAGCAAATTGGTGCATTTGCCCTCAAAAATGCTAGAAAACGTGTGTGTGTGTGTGTGTGTGTGTGTGTGTGTGTGTGTGTGTGTGTGTGTTTTAAGAAATTCAGATAATTTCTCACCTCCCCACTGCCCCATTGTGCCATATTTTGTTTTTATGTTTCTTCATATATATTTTTAATTGCTAGGGGGCCTCAAAACTTGAGGGCCTTGCTTTTATGATGCCTAGGGCCTCTAGACCTCTGAGAAGGCTTATGTCTGAATCCCCTAACAGGAGGAAATAGCAGCTGAGCTGGGCTGAGGAACGTCATCCCCAGACTTGCTCAGCTTCGGCACTGTTAGCGTATCCCATTCGTCCAACTTTTTCTGACCCCAAACTGGGAAGCGCATATTCTGGGGTGCGCTCCCGGGCAAGTCACATGAACCTCATCCTCCCCCCAAAAAACACATTTCCAAGGCAAAAGTGCAAGATCATGGCACCCCAAATGGCCGCCGAGATCTCACACAAAAAAGCGTGATGTCCCTTTTTTCCAGAGAATTTGAAAGGGTATGCAATGCCCTGGATGAGGCCTACTTCATTCTTTCCCACAATGCTTTTGCTCAGCATGGGATGTGGGATCGCATCCTTCCCAGAAAGAAAAGCAGAGGACAATACTGGGATAACCTCTCCTTGGAGCATAATCCTTTCACAAGCTATGGGCCTTTTACAAGCAGCCATGTTGACTACAAATTCTAATTTCTGTTGCTCCACACCCCTAAACTGCCTAACCACTTGGCAAGACAACAGGGATAACTAAGAAGATGCATGCCAGAGCGCTCACCCCAAGCTAGTTTGGTCAGCTGCGTGACCTCAATGTATACACAGAAGAAACTCTCAAGTATTTGATTTATTATTACACCGGGTGATTTCCAACTAAGTCATACTCAGAGCAGACCTATTAATGGACCTAAGTGGGTTGTTATATTTTTATTTAAGCTATTTTTCAGGACAGAAACCTGTTCAGTGTGCCTTGCAGTCAAAACAACAAAAGAGAAAGACAAGGATATAAAAACTTAAACTTAAAAACTGCAGCTCAGCAGCTCAGAATTTTTTTAAACAGGGCTAGATAAAATAATGATTCAGTCCAGCCAGTACCCAGCTAATAAACATCACGCCTAGAAACATCATTTCTTTGGGGCCCTCCAAAACCCTGCAAAGCCTGCAGCACAGAAATGTGATGTGGATCTGATGGAAGGGAATTCCCTAGCCATGGAGCCATCACTGAGAAGCACCTCTCTCACACATGGCCACTCACGCTATCGACTAAGTTACTTAAGTCTATTGATTTCAGTGGGTCTAGTCTTAACTATTATTGAGTATCGCCCATTAGCTTTACATTTTGCCTTTCTTCCATGATGGAACTCAACGTGACATACACATAAGCTTCTCAGATGGTCTCCCACTGGGATGGACAGATCCATCAGTCCATGCCAGTTCTGCATGTGCTAATTTAGAAGTCCTTTCCATCATATTTTCACGTTGTTCTGCCCCCCCCCTTTTAACTCACATTTCTGAGTTGTGTTTTACTCTAAAATAACCCCTTTGTTTGCATTTCAATCAAAAATATGCATTCTTGCACGTACTTAAAAATGCACATTTTTAATGCATTTTGGTTCTTCTTTTGAACTGAGAACTACATTACAAAATTTGAAGAAGCATGAAAGCTGAAAAATAACTGCATTTCAATCCACAAATTAGTTACAGGAAGCGTGAATCAAATCATTTTGCTTAAAAGTACTGATGAAACCAAACCCTCAGGCATCCCTGGTCTCCTATCCAGCCCCAAACATTTTTAGGGTATGTTTGCATGATTGCTTACTCCGCATCCAGTGTGCTTCCAATGCAATTTTTTGAAGCTGCAATCACATCACGTTGGCCACAATCCATACTGACCCTGTAGTTTCTTGACAAATACAACTGTTTGATGTCTCAGCAGTAATGTGGACGTACCCTAACAGCAGTTGTGCAGGCGCAGATGAGCACACACACACAACTTTGCAGGGGCAGGGAAACCAAAAAGGTCATGCACGTCAGGTGAAGACATCCCTGCCCCCTCTCTGATGTGAACAGCTCTGTGAAATTGTTAGGGAGCGGGCTGCATTTCAAGTCACTAATGTGAATGCACCCCAAGTTTCAGCAAGATTGCTGCATTATATCAGAACTTGATTTTAATGAAACTTACTTCCAAGTAAAAAGGCATAGGATTTCATCTCTAGTTGAAGGAATGTACTTCTGTAAATAAGTGTGTGTGTGTGTGTGAGAGAGAGAGAGAGAGAGAGAGAGAGAGAGAGAGCGCATAGAAAAAATATATACAACACATCCCACTGGAGAAGCTGATGCTGTTTGCCTTTGTTCATGTGAAGATGCAGCCAGGCAGTGGTGCAGAGAGTTTGCAAGCTGTTGTTATGGAATCCTCGAGCTGCTGAACAAATCCTGTAGGGAGTTCATGCTGTCAAGAGTTTAAGTGGAACACAGGCCCCATTCTGGCCCCTCTGCACAGTAGGGAATATCACTCTGTGATAGTAGAGTAAACAGAACTGCAAAGCATTCCTTTCTTAAACCTTCCTCTGGCGATAGTTCCCGAATGCTTGTACAATCCTTTCCAAAATATGTGTCGTGTATTTATTACTGCTGCACTGGGTAGGAGCACCACTTTGGCAGAGGAATTCCTTCTTGCACACAGTTACCAGCTGTGCTCTCCTGAGATCAGCTTAGGGCTCGTCCATCCTTCCATTTGCCTCGCCACATTCCCCCAGGAAAACCTGCTCTTTACTGCTGAATCGGAACAAACGGCAATTGGGTTTTCCGCAGATTGCTGTTTGTTCCGATTCAGCGGTAAAGACTGGGTTTTCCCAAAGAAAGCTGCAGAGCAAATGAGAAACTGCTTGGACTTGTGCCTAGAAAGCACGAGACAAGTGGAAAACATCTCAACCCCGTGCTTTTTCAGGCACCGGTCAAGTGGAAGGATGAACAAGCCCTTGGTGTGGTTTGGTCATAAAAGATGTTAATTTACAGTTGCTCAAAGCAGCAGGTCACCTCAGCCACCAGGTCACAAGAGGCTGAGAAACTTGTTTACTCCATCTTAGCTGTGGGCCATGACATCTAGAAAGGAAAACTGGGCCAGAGAAATCAAATTTTTGAACTTTGAACTCCGTAGGTGCTGCTGTTTGTGGGGACTGATGCCCCCTGGGCCTGCTGAGCCTCTATATTTGTAAGTAAACAGTATGCTAGCATACAAATTGCCATAAATCT